GGTAATGTTGGTAAGCTTGTTATTTCAGTATGTTCGCAATGGAGTTCCGATAAGGAGTCAGGTAATGTTGGTAAGCTCATTATTTCAGTATGTTCGCAACGGAATACCGTTAAGGAGTCGGGTAATGTTGGTAAGCTTGTTATTTTAGTATGATCGCAACGGAATACCGTTAAGGAGTCAGGTAATTTTGGTAAGCTTGTTATTTGAGTGTTAGAACACCAGAGTTCTGTTAAGGAGTTAGGTAATGTTGGTAAGCTTGTTATTTCAGTTTCATAGCAATGGAGTTTTGTTAAGGAGTCAGGTAATGTTGGTAGGACAGTTATTTGAGTTTCATGGCAATCGAGTTCCGATAAGGAGTTTGGTAAAGTTGGTAAGCTTGTTATTTGAGTTCCACTGCAATCGAGTATCGTTAAGGTGTTAGGTAATGTTGGTAAGCTAGTTATTGGAGTTTCATAGCAGCGGAGTTCTGTTAAGGAGTCAGGTAATGTTGGTAAGCTTGTTATATTAGTGTAATTACAGTCAAGATAAGTTAAGGAGCTAGGTAATGTTGGTAAGCTTGTTATTTTAGTGTAATTACAGTCAAGATAAGTTAAGGAGTTAGGTAAAGTTGGTAAGCTTGTTATTAGAGTTCTAAAGCAATGGAGTATCTTTAAGGAATCAGGTAATGTTGGTAAGCTCGTTATTTCAGTTTTATAGCAACGGAGTTCCGTTAAGGAGTCAGATAACGTTGGTAAACTTATCATTTTAGTTCCATTGCAATTGAGTATCGTTAAAGAGTTTGGTAATGTTGGTAAGCTTGTTATTTGAGTAAAAGAGCAATCAAGAAATGTTAAAGAGTCGGGTAATGTTGGTAAGCTTGTTATATCAGACTCGCCACAATTGAGTTTTGTCAATTTTCGACATCTTTGCAATCCGCCAAAGGAATTCAATATGTAATCCTTATTATCATATGTAATGGTTATACTTTCAATAGTATCAAAAATAATTAATTCAAGATTTATGATTCTCTCTTCTATTTCATTAATGATTTCTTGCTTTTCTTCACGTTCTCTAATCTTTTCTTCTAAATTATCTTCTCGCTCTTTAACTTTTTCTTCCAAATATTTGAATTGCGAACGTAACCCTTCGTTACTTTGCTCTAATTCCTTAATCCTCGTTTCCAAGTCTTTTAACGTTCTTTCAAAATTATCCTTTAAATCCATTTTTTTTTTTTTTTTTTTTTTGTTGGATTTTTAATTTAAATTGTTCGGATGGATTATTTCAATGTTTTTATTGCTTTTCTTGTCATCAAAATTAACAATAGAAATTTCTTTTTTGCTCAGCCCTCGGTTTTAAAATTTTTCCAACCGTAATTTTAACCATAAATAGCCTAGTACCAAATAATGATCGACATCAACTCGGAACTTTTTGGCGATATGCAAAGAAAATCACATGCATTGATCGTTCTTGAACGTTTTATCATACAGCCATTTGTTGAAAAGTGGTATATTTAAGTAATATCAATCTGATCAATCTGACCAATCTGATCATACATACTTTTGTATCTATTTAGATGTCAGGTACACGGACACAAAAATTGAGCCTTTTGTTACACAACATATACAAATGTTGTAATAATAATTTTTGAAGGAGTCTAGAAGTAGCTAAGCTAAAGCCAGTATGTTAACAGCAAACAAGGCCGCGCACATTTGGCTAAGTGTGAAAATTTCAAGAATTCCTTTCTATAGTAAAGGAAGTACTTTAGTTTACTAGTACCTGAGGAAAAATATATGGAATTTATTCGTATATAGTTAAATAAATAATATATTTAATTTACTAAAATAATTCTAAAAAATTAGTTGATGATTCTTCACTCCAGTTGGTAAAACGGAGACTTTCTACATTAATAGTATCAAAAGGCTTAACTTGTTAGCAAATGATTTGTAAGAATTATAATTTCTAACGGACTTCCTTTTTCTTTTGTGGAAAATTAAGAAATTAAAGGATTATTTAAGTTT